CTGTAACCAAGAAAGTAAAGCAAACCATTATTGCTTAAAGAAAGAAAACAAAGTGAAGGAAGAGAAGATGAATCACAATGTGGCCACACGGAACCGCCATGGTCCTCCATTGCTCTCGGAGCAGTTTCACATAGTGCAAACCTATATAACCCCTGGTGACCTCTCAGTACACAGGCTTGGGGTTTCTGAGTTGATTTATGTTTGCCTGTTTTACCACAGTTGGACACTTCCATTTCATCTTTTTCATGGGGGAATTAACAGAGTTTTCAGGAAACAATACAAGTCACCACTCTTCAATTCCAAGGGGGGGAGGGAACTGGTACCGAGAGTGAGATGTTCATAAGGCATCTGTTCCCTCTCCTAATTAGTGACATTTCACTCTTACGTGCTCTGACTTCTTTTCCTACACCCCCCACCCACCCCTGCCACAATTTTTATCAAAACCTTTCCTACCTCTTGCAAACCTAATTCTATTTTAATGCCCACTATTAAGATAATGAACTGGGATGGCAGCACACCATCAATGAGGGAACGTCTGGAGTTTATCACCACTAACTCGCACTGCTGGGGACTTCAGAGAAATGCAGTCCTTGCAGAGATTTCTTACATTTTTTTTTCCCCTCTTGATGTAAAGTCTGAGGTCAAGGCAAGGTCACAGCTATACAGTAATTGAACTTATAATCTTGCTTTCTCCAGCTAGTACTGGAAATTTATAACAAACATCACATTAAGACACAATTATTGCTTGATTTTTTTTTAAAAAAAGGTTAATATAAGCCCTCCAAAGTCATGCTCATGAAATGTCTAACTCTTAAGAGCCATTTATAAAAACTGCATAATGCTAAGAATTACATATCAAATACAGACAATGAACAGGACATATTAGATTCTGAAATAGTAAATTGCTTTTAGTCTTCAACTCAGATTTGAATATATCAAACATGAGCAGCACATAAAAGAAATACAATGAAAAGTTTAATAATGTACTATAAATAATTAAAGGATCCACAGTCCAGTATGAATTCCAGTTTTCCTGCCCACTTCATGAGAGAAAATAGTTTCTAAAAAACCAAACTATTAAACAGAGACAAGTTTTAAAAATAAAAATGCATACTTCGTGGCATTTTAAGATTTTCAATATCCTGTATCCTTGTGTTCTTTCATTATCTGGAAAGTCATCAAAACAAATAATGAAACTGAATCTAACTAAGAGGTATACTGTTAGAAAACTCTTATTGGCAATATATATTATATCACTTTTTGTACATGAAGTCCTTGAACTGCTAATAAAAATATTTAAAACACAGATCTTCAACAAATTGTGTTGCAAATCAGGTTATCATTATCTTGTATAAACCATGAAAATTGGAATCATGTGAGCAGAAGGTTAGATTAATTCTCCATTCTCATTATAAGCACAGGTGTACCACAAACACCATGTGAAATAACCAATTAAAATGGGGAAAAAAATCTGCTTTTTCATTAGCTGCCTTCACTGCATGACCAATTAGAAAATTATTTAATATTAATATTCTGCATATTCTAAAAGTAATTTTCATAGTAACTGACTTAGACAAGAGAGGGGGGAAACCCAACCCAGTTCTTTATCTGTGGTTGTGAAGAGGGAAATAACTCCGCCTACTTTCTTTTTAAAATATAATACTTTATAGATGTGATTTATGTTGTTAAACACAGAAGTCCTATTTTAACAGGTGAGGGGCCCCAGCTTAAAGAAATTGAGTGGCTTAGTTATTGGAGGTCACATGGTCCCAAGAGATGACAGTAATTTTCTGAATGACACACAGCTGGCACATGGTGGCAGGACTGATACCCTCCTCTCTAACTTCCTGACCAGAGCATGACCACTGCTGTGCCACCCGTTTTGAATCTCTCAGACTCAACAGATAGCTAATAATTCACTGGCTGTAAGCCAGTTACCTCTGGCCGCAACCCCGCTGCTGAGGCAGGGAAGCTGCGTGAATGTGAATGTTCTGTAGGCGGAGAATTCTGAAGACTTCCTTGAGTGTCCTCACAGACAGACAGGCTGCTCCACAGCAGATACAGGGACTTATATGGATTCCTCCACCCTCAGACACTGAGCTTCCCACAGGCCAATTCACAGTAACCAACTCAGGCTTGAATGGAAGATGATACCTTGGGTCTGGACAGGGCTTTTCACTCTCTCGCCTCATTTGGTCATGCTGGTGTAGGGAGCTCTGGTGGCCTAGTGGTAAGGAGCCGTCTGGCCAACCCCAAGACATGCTGTTGGAATCCACCAGCTGCTCCGCAGGAGAAAGATAGTCAATCTCTCGTGTGAGTTACTGCCTCTGAAAACTCCCTAGAGGGCCAACTATGGGTCAGTTCCTACTTGACGGTATACAACAACATAACAATTTGGTCACACACAGCACACAACTTTCTGTGTTACTAACTGAAAGGTCAATGGTTTGAATCCACCAACTTAAAAGTCTCCTGTCATAAGATGTACAGCTTCAGAAACCAGATGGAGGGATTGCATTAAGATGGAATCAACCTGATGGCAGTGGGTTGATGCTTTGTTATTGTTAATGTGTTCACAGCCGTCCGTGGGTGGTGTAAATGTTTATGCATTCAGCTAGTAGCCAAACGGTTGACAGATCTATCCTGCCCAGAGTTACCATGGGGAAAAAGCCACTGCTATGAAAACCTTATGGGACACTGGTCTATCCTGCCACGTACGAGGTTGCCATGGGTTATAAAGAACTCCACAGCAACTGGTCAGCAGTTGTCGCTCATGAACAAGCATCCTCTATCATGTCTCCACTTCACAGACAGGAACCAGTGACCATTTCATGTCAGAGTCCAGGGATCGATCTATTGGTGAGGAAAATGGGTAGAAAGTTTGCCTTGCTTGAGCTAAAACTGTATCAGTACTTCTTTCCTTGTTGTTGTTGTTAGGTTTTGTCAAGGTGACTATGACATACAGTGACCTTGTGAGCAACAGCTCTGAGTCTTGCGTGATCCTGCACCATCCGCACAATCCCTGCCCAGCTTGAGCTCATTCTTACAGTGACCACGCCCATCTGTTGAGAGTCTTCTTCTTTTGTTGACCCTCCACCTTTCCCAGCATGTCTTTTTTTCAAGGACTGGTCCCTCCTTGATAACATGCGGAGATGAAGTTTCACCATCCTCGCCTCTACAGAGCACCTGGCTTGTACTTCCTCTAAGCTCACTTCCTTGGGATGGCTTTTCAAGCATTTAAGTATAATCATCATGCCCTTTTAGCTCTTTTCCCTGGGTTAAACTTCTAGCTCTTGAGAAGTTCCTTCTAGGATGTGTTTTTAGTTAAATCTAATGTCTATGGAAGTGACAGTCAAGAAATCAAATGAACCAGATGCTCTGCTGGAGAAGGAGGGGCAATCTTCTCTTGTACCAGTCAGATCTGATTTGATGGTACACACACACACACACACACACACACACACACACAAATTTAAAAAAAGGAAATCAAATGATATATTGCATTGGGCAAATCTATGGCAAAGGATGCCTTTGAAGTGCTAAAGAGCAAAGAGTTCACTTTAACAACTAAGGTGTGCCTGATTCAACAAGCCATAATATTTTCCATCGCTCCATGCATGTAAGGAGCCCTGGTGGTATAATGTGTAAACTATCAGGCTGCTAACCAAAAGGTAGCCATTGTAACCCGTCAACTGCTTTGTCGGGGGAAGATGGGTAATCTCTCTCTCTCTCACACACACACACAGACACACACACACATTTACAGCCTCAGAGGCCTGATGGATGAGTCAGAAACTCGATGGTGGTGGTTTGGTTTGGGCTCTTAAGCACTTGAAAGTTGGACAATGAAGAAGAATGAGGAACTAATGATTTTGAATGATGGTGCAGCAGAAGCATATACCATGGGCTGTCTGAAGAATGCACAGATCTGTCTAGGAACAAATGCAGCCACAATACTTAGAAGTGAGGATTGGTGAACCTTCACTCAGATATACTGGACATATGGTCAGGAGAGCCAGTCCCTGGACAAGGCCATCATACTAGGCAAAGTAAAGGGTCTGAGAAAGAGAGGTAGCCCCTCCGTGAGATGGCCAGTCACAGTGACTGCAGAAGGGGCTGACCTGCGGTGGGGGTTTGTGGAGACTGCCAAGTTGAACCTGCCCAACAGGACCTAAGAAAGCAACAACGGGACACGTTTTTCAGTCCATTCGCCACCTGGACTCCTCTGGTTAATATGAGGTTTTTCTGTGTTCCTCTAAGACGTGTGGTGGACGACACTCAGAGCAGTTATTGCAGGCCTGCTGCGTCCTTCACCGCAGCCTCTTAGCTGAGTGTACACGCCCACTAGGTGTTGGCTGCTTCGACTGCTTCTCTCTCGGTGACAGCGGTCATTTCTTGTTAGTGACAATGCTGCCCGGAGGATAAAACCCAAAACCAAACTTACTGCCATCATGTTGATTCTCACTCCTGACAGGCCATGTACGTCAGGGTAGAAAGGAACTCGCGTTGAGTCAGTTCTCACAGCGACCCTCCATGGAGTTTCTGAGGCTTTAAATCATAAAAGGATAAACTACCCAGTCTTTCCTCCATGAAGCCATTGCTGGATTGGAACGCAGCACAAGGACCTAAGGACTATGCCCTGAGTCCTCCCTTACTCTTACCTACAGCGTGCCTGTTTGAAATAGATCCCTGAGTCTTTCTTGGCATTTCCATGTGCACTTGAACTTCCAACACCCACAGACATCTAACAACATGATGTGTAGATATAAAAGTAGGAATTGTTGAAATTCAAATATTTAAAAAGTAAATAATAAGCAATATAACACATATAAGTAACTAACTAACTGAGTTCTGTAGACTTACACCGACCCTCCAGTGAGTGCCTGGAGGCTTCAAACCCTGTGGGAGAAGACTGCCCATTTTCCTCTTGTAGAGCAGCTGGTAGATCTGAACCTTTGTTTTTGGATTAGCGGCATAGCTTCTTACTCACTAGGTCACCA